GAATCGTAAACTTGTGACTTAATTATACCAGAAAAGGTATGTTTTGGGTGAAAGGAGCTCTTGTGCAAGAGTTGATGAGTATCAGTTTCTTTGAAATACACTTTAATATCCAGTTTATTTGTTTCTGCTATGGAATCTCCCTTAAAGACTGTGGTATCGAGAAAGTCTATGCTTTTGTCACTCACGTTTGCGGTTAGTTTGATAGAAGGATGGTGGTTGTTGAGAATTTCAAAGAATTCCCAAAACTGTTCGATAGAATAAGTCCAAACCATAAAAATGTCATCCAAAAAGCGTCCGTAAAAAAGTGGGTCAAATGGACAGAGGGGCAACACCTCACGTTCCCACTCTGCCATGAAAAGGTTTGCGTACGAAGGGGCGAATCGTTTGCCCATTGCTGTCCCTGAAGTTTGTAAATATGTTTTACCATTAAATGTGAAATCGTTTCGACTAAGACAAATCTCTAAAAGCTGTAGAATTGCATCGTCGGGTCTGTTTGGATCTGGGTTTCTATTAAAAGCTTTACGAACTGCTGTTAAACCAGTAGTATTATCGATATTGGTATACATAGAAGAAACGTCGATAGAAATTAAAATAGCATTAGAGGGAACTCGAAGATTTTTTATTTTATTGACAAAATCGGTTGTGTCTTTAAGGTAGGCGCGATGTTGGCATGCTAGAGGTAGTAAGAAATGATCAATGTATTCTGACACTGCATATGACTCACTACCACAGTCAGATATAATCGGGCGGCCTTTAGGGATTTTATTCGAGATAAACCACTCCTTGGTTGGATTCTTATGGATTTTAGGCAAAGTGTACAAATGTCTCTCGCGACAATCAGGTTTGGCAGACAGATAGTCATATTGTTTCTGTTTGACTAAATCGGCAAGAATATTATTAATCATGTTAGCAGTTTCTTTGAAAATTGGTTTCGGTAAAATGGCATAATGTTTAGGATTATTCAGTTGATTCTCTGCTTCTGAAACGTAATCCTCCCTATTCAGAATGACACAACATGAACCTTTGTCACTCTTTTTAATAACAATGCTATCGTCTTTCTTAAGTAAGTTTAACGCTTCACGTTCCACTCGTGTGAGATTAGGCTTTTCGTGTGTTATGGAAATGTTCACTGTTTGGCTATTCATACTCGCAAATGCTTTCAATATTTCAGAATGGATGGCGGCCTGAGGGGGTGTCCACGTGGATTTAGGAATAAACATTGTTCTAGCACCACGTGGGGGGGTGGTTTCGAAAAAAATATGTGCAGCTAAGATTTCGGTGAAATCGTTCAATGGATGGTCGGAGATAATTCAAGTTAGCTATCTTTGGTGTGGGAATAAATTTAAGTCCACGGTCTAAGATTGAATGCTGAAGGGGTGTGAGAATTTTGCGGCTCAAGTTAACTACAGTTTGGCCTAGCGGTGGCCTCTCAGTATTTTATCCCCAGTAATTAGTTTAAAGATTTACTCGATGCTTGAAGCTGGTGTATCCAAAACAAATAGATGCTGTTTGCTGTTTCTGGAGACCAATGTAGATTATCAACTGGTTCGAATTCTTCTTTGTAGGGTGGTAAGATTGTTGCTCTGTTGATACTGGACTCCATCATCATGTTGTTGAGAGTGCTGAGGTTCTGTTGTGCTTTCTTCGAGATTTTATTTGAAATGGGTATACATGTGAAGAGGATCTTGGAGTTTGGGAAGGTTTTGTTGGCTGTAGCGATTAATTTCTGGGCTTGGTTAAAGGAGGTCTTTGGTAGCTGATCACGGTTGTTGAGGCCTACATGAAGAATAATGGTAGTAGGTTTGGGATCATGGTCGTATGATTCCAGGATTGACTGTATGTGATGGATTTGGGCACCGGGGTAAGAATGTATTTCGGTGTCTGAACTGGTTTTGGTAATTCGATTAGGTTAGATGATCCAATTATTAAGGTAGATTTCTTTAGAGCAGGTAGCTTCCATGATGATTTGTCCTTGGTTTGGTGATAATACGGTTTGGTAGCGGATATAATGGTCGTCGACGGTGTGATTGGTACTGGTTTGGTAGTTGTTAGAATTGTAGCATTGGGAACGGACTGGGATCTGGTTCGAGGGGGGGAAGGTCTGGATACACGTCTCGACTTGGATGGAGACTGAGGGGTGGTTTGCTGGTCCAAAAACGCACAGAAGGAAGAAAGGTTGGCGGATCCTGGATCACGTGGTGAAGATTCAGATGGTGTGGAAGGGGAAGACGAGTCTGAAAGTGAAAAGAGAAGGGGTGTGCCCTCTCTACGAGAGCGTTTACCTACGTCTGCTGGACTAGGAGTAGGTGAACTTCGGGCTCGTTTAGGGGTTTGGTTCGGCAGCGTGGTGGCTCTAGATGGTGCAGGTGTAGTGTCCATTTCAGTTGGT